CTTTTCCAGAAGTACAGAAGCTGACAAAATTTTCCACCATAAGGCCTGCATTACAGGAAATAATGAAGGAGGTTATTCCATCTGAAACAAAAAGGTAAAGGAATACAAATCTATGACTAAGATGACTAACAGATAGACAGAAGCAGGAAATTACAACCTTTATTCACAACAGGACACTATATACTTAAATATAACATGAAAGGTAAAGGAGGTAAAAATATTTTTTAAAAAAGAGAGAGAGAGAGAGAGAAGAAGACAATAGCTACTACAATTTGGAAATGACCTCACAGCACAAATAAGGATAATTTGTGACAACGAAAAACATAAAAGGGAAAGGGAGTCAAGATCTGAACTTGGAAAGGAAAACAAAGATAAAATGAATGCAGAAGAAAAAGGACTGCTGTATATATAAAACTTTCTTTTACATAAACTACACACACAAAAACTCAGAAATAAGACACATAACATTAAAAAGTGGAAACAGAAAAACATCATACAATACCACCAAACTGAAATAACAGACAGAAACACATGGGTAAAGAAACAATGGATACACCAAGCTACCAGAAAACAAAAGATAAAATGACTATAGGAAATCTTCATATATCAATATGATGTAAATGGACTGAACTCACCAATAAAAGCACAGAGTATCAGATTTGGTCAAAAAACAAAACTTGATCATATACTGCCTTCAAGAGACACATCTCAGCTGTAAGGGCAAATACAGACTCAAAGTAAAAGGGTAGAAAATGATATGCCAAGCAAATGGCTTCCAGAGAAAAGCAGGTGTAGCCATACTAATATCTAATGAAATAGACTTCAAGATAAAAAAGGTAACAAGAGACAGTGATAGACACTACATAATGATAAAGGGGACCATACATCAAGAAGACATAACACTTATCAATATATATGTTCCCAATTAAACAGGACCAAAATATATGAAGCAACTACTAACAGAATTAAAGGGAGAAACTGACAAAAACACAGTTATAGTAGGGAACCTAAATATCCCACTGTCAGCTATGGATAGATAATCGAAACAGAAAATCAATAAAGAAACATCAGCCTTAACCGACACATTAGACCAATTGGATATAATCAACATTTACAGTCTTTTACCCCAAAACACCAGGTTATACATTCTTCTTTAGTGCATATGGAACATTCTCAAAGATAGACCATATATTGGGACACAAAACTAGCCTCAACAAATTTAAGAAGACTGAAATCATACCAAGTGCATTCTCCAACCACAATGCTTTGAAATTGGAGATCAATTGCAAAAAGAAAGTGGGAAGAACCACAAATACGTTTAGATTAAATAACATGTTATTAAAGAATGACTGGGTCAAAGAAGAATTAAAATGAGATATTAAAAAATATATAGAAACAATTGAGAATCAAATTACAACATATAAAAATTTAGGATACAGCAAAAATGATAATAAGAGGAAAGTTTATTCATTACAAGCCTATCTCAAGAAATAAGAAAGATCCCAAATAAAAATCCTAATATTACATCATAAAAAAGTAGAGAAAAAAATGAAGCCCAAAGTCAGAAGAAAGAAATAATCAAAATTAGAGCAGAATTAAATGAAATTGAGAACAAATAGACAATAGAAAAAATTAATGTAATAAAAAGCTGGTTCTTTGAAAAGATCAATAAAATTGACAAACCCCTAGCTAGACTCACTAAGGAAAAAAGGGAAAAGATTCTAACAAAATCAAAAATGAAAGAGAAGTTATGACAAATACCACAGAAATACAAAGATCATATAAGAATACAATGAAAGACTATATGCCATCAAATTTAATAACCTTAAAGAAATGGACAAGTTTGTAGAAATATGTAACCTTCCTAGACTGAATGTGGAGAACTGGAAAATCTAAATAGACTGATCAACAGTAAGGAAATTGAAACAATCATCAAAAACATCTCCAAAAGTAAAAGTCCAGGACTTTTAAATTCACTTTCACTAGTGAATTTACCTAAACATGCAAAGATGAATTAATATTGTCCTTCTCAAACTCTTCCAAAAAACTGAAGAGCAGGTAACACTTTCCAACTCATTTCATGAGGCCAATTTGGTATCATACCCTGATACCAAAACCTGGTAAGGATAACACGCACGTACACACACACACACACACACACACACACACACACACACACACACACAAAACTATAGACCAATATTGATAGAAAACAGAACAATGAAGGCCTCTGGTAGTGATGGAAGAAACATGGCTTCGACAGAGAAGGAGTATAAAAGCCTTTGGGATGTTGGGATGGTGTATATCTTCATCTGGATAGTGATTACAGGGCAGTATCAATATTGATTGATTCTTCCTGTTCTTGTATTTCATAATGCAATCGTGCAGAATGTACTCTTTAGCGTCTTGCTTCTTTCAATAAACACATTTTGAGCTTCAACTATGTTAATGTGACAGCAATTTGTTTCTTTTACTGCAGAATAATTATCCTTTATATGAATATACCACTATTAATTTATGTATTATTTAATTAAGGAGTACTTTGCAGCTTTTATTAATAAAGATTTGTTTGGAACATTCTTGTACATGTCTTTTGTGGACTTATGCACGCACTTCTTTGGATATATTTTTAGAAATGGAAGTGCTGAGTCATAGGGTTGTTATAGATTTGGCTTTGGTAAATACTGCCAAACAGTTTGAAATGGTGAACTTATGTATACTACATCAACCATGTAATAAAAATTTCAGTAGCCATAAATCCTTTCCAATACTTGGTGTTGTCAAACTTTTCTTTTTTTTTTTTTTTAACGCCTACAGCACCTGGTCTTCCTAGGTGGTCTCCCATCCAAGTACTAACCAGACCCGACCCTGCTTAGCTTCTGAGATCAGACAAGATTGGGCATGTTCAGGGTGGCATGGCCATTGACAGTGTTGTCAAACTTTTAAAAAAATTTGTATTGCTATATCTGAAGTGGTACCATGTTTAAAACTTAAAATTCTCTTATGATCAATGGTATTGAGTAATTTTTTATATGTCTGTATATATGTCTATATATATAATTGAAAATTTTATTATAGTGTAATTTATATTTTTACCTCTTGTTTGTTTTTTATGTTTTTGTGTGTGTCCTATTTAATAAAAATTTTTCTATCTTTAGGCCTTAAAGAAATTCTTCTATGCTTTCTTCTAGAAGCATCATTATTTTACTTCTCACATGTAAATGGTCTACATATAATTCAAAATTTTGCCTTGTGTTTGGTGAGTCAAGGTTTTGATTGCTCATGTTATTTTCATTCTATATCAAATAGCTCTTTACTATTTATTGCAAAAGAACAACAGCAAACAAACAAACAAACAAAAAACACCACCCAAAACTATATGCCCCTCTAGTGCCTCTATTAGAAATCAAGTGACTATGTGTGGGTCTTTTCTCAACACTTTGTTCTTTTCCATTTGTCTTTTTGTCTGTCTTTGTACCTACAGTACACCAACTACCTTAATCGCTGTAGCTGTATAATAAGTCTAGAAATATGATATTTCTAGATTTCCATGCAAATTCTGGAATTACCCTTTCAACTTCAGAATATTCTTAGGGGATTTTAATTTAATTTCATTGAGCCTATATGTCAAATTTGGGAAAATTGAAATTCTAAAAATATTGAGTTTTCTATTCTATGAACATGAAAGACTCTATTTACTAAGTCCTTTAATTCACAACACAGATTTATGTATTGACATTGTATGCAGAGACCTGTGTTACTGAAGCCCCAGGGTTTTTTCCTAGAATCCGCCTGCCTGTGGGTATTGGTCCAAAGAAATGCACGAACAAAAGTTTGTAGTATAGAACGAAAAAAAAAGTTTAATATAGAATTGGCCGATTTGGAGGTGGGGTGCTTATGCTTCTAAAATCTCAACTCTGATGGCATAGTTACAAATTATATAAAGCAAAATCACAAGACACTGTGGCTTAGAGGTTTGGGGTTGTGATAGGAGCTGATTGGTCAGAGGCAAGGTAAGGATAATCACTTCTTCAGGTCTCGAGGATAGCTCTGAGGTTTCTTCAGGCATCTTTGTCTGGTCTCATGGGAAAGTAGCCAGGGGGCGGTCCACCTTAGGACTCAGGAACTGAAACATAGGTCAAGATGTTATCTTTAACCTGTCAGAGGTCTGAATTTTGTGACCTGACCATTAGTCAAATCCAGGCTACTGTCTTCTGCTGTCTCAAGAGTTGCTGATTATGTGGCTAGGCTAGGTCTCTGCGAGGTGTATACATACAGAGAGAGGGATGTAATTTCTAGAGCTAAGATTTAAAACTAAATAATATCAAAATCATAAGGACTCTTGGTTTTATCTATAGTATAATTCTTATAGAAGTGGTGATAATGGACATTTTAGTCTTTTTTACAATATGAAGAGTAAAATGTTCCATATGTTATCGTTGAGTATAATGTTTGTAGGATATTGATAGAAAGTTATCACATAAGGTATTTTTCCATTATTCCTGGCTTGCTGAGAATTTTTATCATAAGTAGATGTTGACTATTTTTTTCAAATTATTTTGCAGCTACTGAGATCACTAAGCAAGAAAGGTATATCTGGAAGATAAATTTCTGATCAGCTCTTCAATCCAATCTGATCCAATGATGCACCAACAAAAAAGTCTGGACACATTCGGGGTAAAGAGAGAAATAGGAATTATGAGCATTTATTTTATTCCCAACAGGCTTGTGCCAAACACCATCTATCTGAATTGAGGCCAGTAATGAGGTGAAGGATACAGGAAGTAAATTTTATGACTTGAGAAAAGAAATTCATCCCTCAGGCTGAGCTAACAGGCTTTTCTAACATGGCCACCTGGGGCTGTTTGCTCAAGTGTAAAGAAGAGGCAAATGATCTCTGCAGCTGGAAGCCCGGTTTGCCCCACACCTACTGCTTTGCATGTTACTCCCAGCCCATTCTGCTGACCAGGGCCCATATCAGTGCCTGGAGTCAGTGCTCTGGGGAAGAGCTGCCTCAGTTAGGACACAGAGCGAACCATGGAAGCCCCCACTCAGCTTCTCTGCCTCCTGTTACTCTGGATTCCAGGTGAGAGAAACTTGGGGTAGTTCCGTATGTCAGTGAAAAGTTTGTCCATGTTGAGTCCTGTGACCTGACACCTTTGCTCAGCAAGTATAATAACTAAAGCTCAACATAGACCAACAATCCTGGTTCAGCATGCTGGGAAGACAATCGGGTATGATCCAGATTACACAGGTGACTTTTGTGTCTTATTTCCAATCTCAGATACCACCGGAGAAATCGTGATGACCCAGTCTCCAGCCTCCTTGTCTTTGTCTTCAAGAGAAAGAGCCACCTTCAACTGCAGGCCCAGTCAGAGTGTTAGTAGCTACTTAGCCTGGTACCAGCAGAAACCTGAGGAGGCTCCCAGGCTCCTCATTTATAGTGCATCTACCAGGGCCACTGGCATCCCAGCCAGATTCAGTGGCAGTGGGTCTGGGACAGAATTTACTCTCACCATCAGCAACCTGGAGCCTGAAGATTTTGCAACTTACTACTGTCAGCAATATTATATTGAGTATCCACAGTGATTCAACATGAAACAAAATCCCATAAGTCCTTTAATGCTTATTTCATTATACCAGCTGCTTCCTTTATAAGCAGCTGTTGTAGTAGTTGCATGGTTTTAGCATCTCTGTTCTGTTTGGAAAGGTCCTGGCCAGTTTAATAAGACAATATCATCAATAACAAACAAGGATTGGAAAGGAAGAATTAAAACTACTATAATTCATGGATGAAAAGACTGTATGCACAGAAAATTCCAAATAATATATTATTAGAAATAAAGAGAAATGGGTAATGATTGGATTCAAAGCCAGCATGCAAGAGTCAATTTGATTTCTATGTAACTGAAATAATGCTGAAAAATTAAAATTATAAAATACATCTTTTACAAGTGCCTCAAAAACACCAAATATTTAGGAAAAACTAACAAAACACACTGAAGCTCTAGAATATTATTCAGAGAAAACAAAAAATGCTACATAAATGGAAGGTCATATTATATTCAAAGACTGAAAGTCTCAGTATCATAAAGATGTCAGTTCTTCACAATATTAACAAAATTAAAACCCCAACTAATTTTTAACAAACATTTATAAGCTGATTATAAATATTTTATGTGGCAATGTCAAGGACTAGAAAAACCACAGCAAACCTGAGGAAGTGCCAGAATGAGGACTTACACTGCTGGATGCCAAGACTGTGGTGCTAAGATAAGCTCAACCAAGTTGTCCAATAGAATAGAAGAGAATATTCAGAGACAGACCATGTGTATATTGATACTTTTAATGGTAAAGATGATACTGCAGAGCATTATAGAAAGTACAAATGGACAACAGGGTATATAAAAGGAGCTCAACATCAATAATCAGCAGAGAACTTTAAATAAAAATTACAACAAACTCACTAAATATTCAATAGGATGCTTTAAAAAAAAAAAAACTAAAAAGATCAATAATACCAAATAGGAACAATTAGAATGTTAATGTATTGTCTTTGGAAATATAAAGTAGAACAAGTTAGAGAACTAACATGAAAATACACATACCCTGTAAGGAGCAATTAGAATGTTCATGTATTGTCTTTGGAAATATAAAGTAGAACAAGTTAGAGAACTAACATGAAAATACACATACCCTGTAAGGAGCAATTAGAATGTTCATGTATTGTCTTTGGAAATATAAAGTAGAACAAGTTAGAGAACTAACATGAAAATACACATACCCTGTAATCCAGCCCTTTCACTAAGAAGCGTATATAGATGTACATTGAAGCAAATGCACAATATTGTTCATATCATTATTTGTGATGACTCTAAACTGAGAACAGCCTGTCAACCAACATCAGAATAAATAAAATTAGTCATCTGCATACAGTGAAAAGCTATACATGGCTGCAGATAAATGGACCTGCTGCTACATCTAAGAACATGGGAGAATCTCACAAGTATAATAAAGTACAAAAGTTATAAACGAAAAGAGATTGTTATCTATGATTCCATATTTTTAATTTACAATGTTAAAAGGCATGTTATATTAAAAAAAAAAAAAAGTAAAGTTACACCAGACCAGTTAAAGAGGCCAAGAAAAACTTTATTCAAGCTGAGATGGGACATCAGTTGTAAAATTCTTAATCTTTTAGCAGGAAATGAAATAGGACATCTTTTGCAGAGTTAATCTTTTTAGTAAACCTAGTTAAGTTTTCTTCCCTCCTGTCTTTGGAAAAAAGGCCCTCTCCCTCAAATCCTGATAATTGCCCTGATGACTCAGATCCTCTGGCTATTGATAAGGGTCATCAGTCCATTGTTAGCAGAAATGGTGTTAAGTCAGACTGGGCTCTTAGAGTCTGAGAGGGGAGGAGACTTTAGGCCAAAGGTCATTGTACTCTTTAAGAAATATATTAACCAAGACTGTTTTCCTTTACTTGCTTAATAGGCAAATCAATAATAGAAATGAATAGATATATGATTTAAATAACAGTTTGTATCTTCTCTTCCTTGTCTAGGGACTGAGGGAGCACTTCAGCAGAAAATCCAAGACCCAAATTCTGTCCTGATTAAGGCAGAAAGAGAAAGAGGTCTGTGAAACCTCCATAGGGGAAGGTTCATGACTCTTAGAAAAGAGTTAGGCAGCAAAGTTCGTTAGGGAGTTTCTAGTCTGCCTGCAAAGGCACTGAGGTCATCCGATCCTAGAAAGGGTCTGCCCTAATCTGCCCACAATTAAGCAAGCCAAAAGGCATTTTTTAACTCACACAAAGAAACCAGTAGGCAGAGAATTAGGTACCAGTTTAAGCCAGTCACTTGCACCTGCGCAATGAAGAACTCAACGACCTTCAACTCACCTGAACCTCATTATACCATTATTATAATATGATACATACGCCCGGAAGTTCATTACTATCATTATAACAGACTGAATTCTGGAAACAAACATGCTCAGAAAGCAAAATGATGAATCACTGAGTCCTGTAAATCTTAGTTGTCAATCAAGGAAGCCCACCCTCTAAGAAAAGTAACCACCCACAGCAAAACGGGACAAAAAAACCTGAAAGCTTTGTTGCCAGGCTTTTTTAGCCATGCTTCTTTTGCTCAGGCCCCTTTCTACATTTGGAAGTGTATTTTCCTTTCTAATAAAACCTTTCTTTTCTACTGTATTTCGGTGTCTTGCTCAATTCTTTGTTCAAGACATCAAGAACCTGGACAAAGTGCTGGGAGAGGATTCCCCACTCTCCGGTAACAAAGCTGATCTCAATAAGGGAGAGAAAATACTGAAATGGGGGAGATACTATGCAACTTATTTGAAACAAAAGGCAAGATAATTTTTAAATGCTGGGTGAACTAATGAACAAGTACTAGAGAATGTTGGTAAAAAAAACCCCACCCATATACAGTCACTTGATTTCTAATAGAGGCACTATGATTAGATCATCTGTGTTTGCTAATTGTTGCTTATATAAAGTAGGTGCCTACCCTCCCACAGAGACTGAGACTGGTCCTATCTTTCTTGATTACATTGCAAAGGAATGGCTCTCAGGTCCTTGAGAAAAGCATCCCTAGGTTGTAGAATATTTATATATCAAAAAGTCAGAGAAAGAACTTACAATTGCAAGTTTTCTAAAGCAAATAAATGCTCAAAGAAAAAGGAAGTCAGGAGACTATAATCAGCTTGAAATTTGTTTAAAATTTAGTCAAGCTGAAAGAACATTAACTTTTCAGTCAGAAGCTGTATTGAGAAAAAGTGGAGTTAATGACTGGGAGGGGGCAGAGGAAGATAACAAAGGTATTTTTCTGAGTATAGTTGATAGTTATAGAAGTGTTCACTCTGAAAAATTTATTAACCTGTGTGCATATAATTTGTGAATGTATTGTTGATAGGTTCTGCCACTTTCAGTGAAATGATGTATAATAAAACCAGTTTTACCATAGGCTAATTGATATAAACAAGAATTAAATTTTTATGGTAGCTCATCGATGTTATAACAAAACATCATTGAAGGAAATGACATCTCAGTGGAAATTTATTGTAAATTGATTTACTTCATATGTAAGGATCATTTTCTAGATTCTCTGCCCCATTGTATTGGCTGATCTGTGTATCCCTTTACCAATACTATACTATTTTAATTACTATTTCTTATATTAAGCATTGATATTGGTTAGTGTTAGTCCTTTGAGGATCTGCTATTTCAGGATACAAGAAAAACAATTTTAAGGTAGTTCAAAGTTGCCCATTAAATATTCTGTTAATTTATCTAATTAAAAAAAAAAACCCTGAGCCCATGTTATTTCTGTCTCTTGGATACTTTCTCATTTCCATTGTATTCAAGAGGAAGGAACAGGCAGGATAAGCAAATAGAGAAATTGAGTAAGATAAAAAACTAGCTCAAGATACAAACTAGGGAGAAGAAATCAAAATAAAAGATGAGGAGCTGAAGAAGGTGATATAAAAATTTCCTGTAGGAAAAACAGAAAATTTGGGGGGGAAATGCCTTCAAAATCAAATCATGCCCTGTGAGGATGAGTCCTCTTGCCCATGGTTTCTTGAGTACTGTTCCTTCCTAACTGTTTCTCTCAACCAGAAGACATGTGAACAATGAATAGACAAGAATAGGGTGACTGCTATAGACACTCTTATTCAAAAAGAAGGACACAGCACTGAATATTCTATGTACCATATAGTAACAGCTTCCTAATGGGATTTCCCAATTCCAGTCTTTTTTTCCCCCCAAGCTGTACTCCTTAACCATTTATGCTATTTCATCAGATCAAATCCCAAATAATGAATCTTAAATAGCATCTTTGCTGTTGACCTAAATTCTCATTATCCTTTGAAACAGTTTAAATTTCCTTCATGAATTCTTTGCTATTTTCAATTTATTTTGATTTTCCTTTATGAATTTAAATAACATTGTTATCCTCAAATATAGCATGTAAGGCTGACATACATACAGTATTTCTTAAATTCTGGTTTTGTGTTGTTTCCGTCAACTCTAAATTCCAAGTTCTACTGTTAAGGGAATTGACCTTAGAATCTGATCTCTAATTGAGAGACCATTCCTAGGCTTGAGCTTATACCAGGAAAAAGGTTCTGTCTAAGCTTCTTGAGCTCATATCCAATTAATAGTTATATAAGCAATTATTATTCTTGGTCAGTGCTGCCTGATGTATCATATACTATGCTTATTGTCATTCATAGTAGTCACTACCAGAGGAAGGTATTTTATACTGAGGACTAAAGAAATACTACAGTAATTTGCACAATTTTAAAAGAGGCTTGACATAATTCTCTTACTAGCTGAAGACACTATGGGAGGAAGTATCCTGGTGTGATAGCTCTAAAGTAATCTGCTTTGGACCTGAAGCCCCCCAAATAGTTCTACACAAGATGACTTTGCATGCTTTACCAAAAGCATTTGCCTACAGACCAAAGCCCTTATCCATGGGCTGCTCACTATCTAAGGATAGGTATCTATCTCAGCCTTTTGTAGAATGGATATGAGGAGCTCAACTCTTCTGCATCTGGATACCAGG